GAACTGATGTATTTTCATATAAATTACTTATACTTATGTTTCAAAATGTACTAATTATTTTTGTATTTTATGAATATTAAAATAAAAAATACTTAAATCAAACCTTTATATTAAATATGTTCATGGTATAAATTATTATTATATATGTAATTTATTCAACAATTTTAGTAAATCACTGTCCTTTTTTCAAAACATCACTTCGGTAAAATACGTCGGACAAAATTAATTTTTTGTCAGTCATTTTTCTAAACTATTTATTTTGAAAGTGGCTTAAGTCACTTTACCGTAATGAAAAGTGGGGATTTTTTAATGTTTACACGAAATTATTTATATTGAGAAAAATATCAGTATCCTGAGATAACAAATACAAGTAAATCTTCTCGAAAGTTAGCATCCATATTTTGAAACGTGTTAAAACGCAAACCCTTAAATATATCGGCTTAAAAACAAAGTGATTTACGCCACTTTCAAAATAAACGGCTCATATCGAGATACGATCGATGAAAATACGATTTATATGAGATCGGTACAATGTATCGCGTGGTAGAAGATACAGAGAAAAAGGCCTTTGCCCGAGGTTCGGTCGTGTTCTAACTAATTGATGTGAGAGAGCGACGCTGGCCGCGCGGTGATCCAGAATGATTGGTGTAATCACGATACGAGCCGGGATACGGTTACTTGCCTCAGACATCTATTATCAGTGCCGTCTCGCTGCACTTTCATTGACGCGTTGTCGCTAACGGCGGTTCCATGTGCACGCCCTCACAATCTTCGGTCCCAAAATATTGTATATGTATTTATTAAAGTTGCGGCGCGCAAACAAATTTATTCATGGAAGCAAGAAGGAGTCGCGCCGCGCGAATTGATCTTTATTTACCGAACGGTGAATTCGGAGGATTTAGCAGTCGGCTAATTAGTGGCTTGTAGAGATGTTTATGCCGACTCATGATTGCTGTGCATTTTTTTTTCCCCTCCCCACTCGAGAGAAAATTGACCCGTTGTTTCGCAAATTCTCCGTGCTCTTATTGCGTAAATGTATGCAGAGCCTTTACAGGAACACGCGAGGCAGGAACAGAATGCATAATCCTGTTCCGAAATTCTCGGAAATGTCTTCGATAGTGTGCGACGAGAGACGGGTCCGGTCGAGAACCTTTCGCGGGAAGAGGTCCAACTCGGAATCCGAATGTTGCTTGCACGTGATGCATCCACGTATCACAGGATGCGTCAAGAATATTCGGACATTTGTCAGTCTGTCGATATCGCAAAATAATTCGTTGATCGCTCGATAGATACTCTAACCACGGCAGCAGCAATTCTATCCGCGAACGAACAAGTCGGATCAACAATAGTCTAACGGTTTCTATTGGAACAGTTATTTAGTGTAAAACTGGGAATTTTCCAGTGCAGTTATTTAAAAAATCTGTGGAAGGACATTTGCCATTAACGGATGTGGCAACAGGCCTTTAAACATTGTCTGTTTTGCTACGAATTTAGGTCAAGTGTTCCAATCGAAGTGTCAACGTCGATGTGTCTGTTCAAACTTTGCGGAGTCTGTTCGCAGATTTCACTTTGGTAACGCACAATATCATATGTCCGCGATGCACGACACACATTAACCGCTAAATTTGCATTAGATATATCTAAGCGTGAAATATAAGATTGGAAAGTTATCAGTGGTCTAGTTTTAGTAACAGTAACATCTTCTAAATTAACAAGATTAGATTTAGTTTCAGATTCAGGCAGATTTTTCCTTATCCTTAACAAATTTCTAATCGAAAGTTTAACGAGTTATCACGCGACAACTACCGTTTAACCCTTTGCACTCGAGTGATGACTCTGAGGCATCACTAAAATTTGTTATATCACTTTCTAACATAATTTTTACATTAACAAAGTTTAGATTTTAAAAAATTGTTAAAAGTGTAACCATTGTGTAAGTCGCAAGACTCGATTTCGCACGCATAAAGTACACATTGTCATGTAAAATGAAGATACTGTAAGTCAGAAAAATTATTTCAGATTTACAGTTAAATTAGCTTCGAGTGCAAAGGGTTAATCATCGAAAATGTATGATTCGCAGTCGGTTGGAAGGGACAAAATTATTTCGAGAGTTTCTTTTTCGAAATGCAAAAAGAAATGAATGCGATAATGTGATAAACAATCTGATAAACAAGATGATAAAGGTAAGGATAGACACGCGACCGTGGAACTTTCATCATTGACGCGGCGAATGAAATGATGCAACCAGTCTACCGACTACGTGCGAATTGATTACGCCAATATGGCAGGCCTACGGTAAATATTAAATGCTACCAGGCCTGCATCCTCTGTTCGAAGTTTAAATATGTTTTTCTGTAGTACAGAGCGGTTCAGTAAACAGTTCTTGCTCTTGATGTCTCTTCGTCTCTCTTCGCCTTCTGAGTTGCACAATTTAGTTATCTCTTGATACATATTTTCTTTCGTAATTATATTTCGCGAAAGTGTGATCCAAGAACAGTCTGGTCGTTATCTCGGAGAAGAAGAGATCAGTCCGCGAATCGTCTAAGCTTATTTGTTTTAGGTAGCTTCGTTTATTTCCACAGTCAATTTTGTAGATCCTTTCGAATTCGAAATCGTACAGTTGAACAAATTTGAAAGATTAATCTCTCGAAAGATTAATAAATAAAACAGCGATGAAAATGATGTTTTCTCTAGCGCTAGTGCTCTATTGGAAGATTGAATCAAGATTAAAACGGTAAAGCTAACATTGCGAGGTAGACGATTTGTTCTTTCTCGTGTAAACTGAGCTATCTCGGACGTTGGATCGTCTGGCGCCTAGAATGATGATACCGCGCGAGTCTCGTGAGTTGAACTTAACGGAGAACCGGATTTGGTAATAATAAGATGCGGTCACGTGAGACGTGTAAAACCAAGCCGAGAATATTGACGCGTACGTGTTCAGTCAATTTTCGATCTAATTACTAACGTCATTACAGAATTCTTCTTTTTCTTTTTACGGATGGGTACCCGTTGAAAGAAAAAAAAAAGAAGGAAACATTTTATCAAAAGATTTATTATTTTAACAGTGTTTCATTGGATTCCTGGGAATCATAAAATTTATTCATAAAATTATAGGAATAATTCTTTTTGTTGTTGCAGGATTCTGTTCTACACTACACAACCAGCCCATGTAATCATGATCGCAGCAGTTCTGTGTGTAACGTCGGCTTTGGTACCAACGAAAGATAGATTACAGGGTGCTGGTCATCCTTACTCGAGAACAACCACTTTCATTTATTTGGCCTCGTTTGTGATGCACCTTGGCGCTCAAATTTGGATGACCTTCGTTTCAGGTAATTAGAACTGCATAGGGAAGCTCGGCTACTTTACCGGTGGTCGTTATCAGGACAACAAAGAAGAATAACATCTCTAATAACGATTATTATCACTTCAGGTCTGTCGTTATACTTTGCATTGCCCAGGCACACGTTTGGCGAGGTGCAGCGAATTCTATTCCCCAGATATTTCACCATTAATGCGTGTCTTAGCCTGACTACGCTGCTCATTTTTATCAAACATCATCCAGCCCATACATGGGATACGGAAATAGCGATACAGGTATGCACATTCTCAAATAATTTACATGAGATACACTCGTACACGAAAGTATTCGAACGCTTACGTTTCTAACATTCGATTAATAAAATATATGTGTTAAACTGAAGCATTTGATATAATATGACACATATAACAAGGGATCGGTCTTAAGACTGCGTAAGCAAAATTAGAAAATAATTCAAAAATATAGCGCGTTTTTACAGTACATTTATTGTAAACACGTATCAGAAATGGCTCACAAAAGTATTCGAACGAAACAATTAACAGTTATTTAAATTGAACGATTAAAGGTTTTACTAGGAAGTTGATCCACCTTTTGCTTTTATAACAGCCCTAAGTCTATTTTCCATTGAGTGGAGCAACTTAGAAGTAACATTTGCATCTATTGATTGCCATATTTCAATAATATTTCGTTTCAACACTTCTTTCGAAGTAATAACCGTATTTCTTAATCATTTTTCTACTTCATCTCATAAATGTTCAATGGGTTTTAAATCGGAACTCTTTGCGGTGAATGTGGCACCACGTGTGGAACATTTTACAATACCTATTCTTTGACTATTTTAGCGGTATGCTTCGAATCATTGTCAGACTGAAACCAATAATCGCTAGGCAAATTCAATTTTGATACATTGCTTTTTAAATTTTCCTGCAAAAATTATTAAGTATTTCGTTTTATCCATTATCTTATGGATGAACTAATACAGATCCATCATTATGTTTTATAGTCAGTCGTAGATTCCGCGGTTCTAATTGTGTGTTCCTTTTCCTCCAAACACTTTTACGTCCATCGCTACCAAAAACGTTAAATTTACTCCCATCAGAGAATAATACTTTGTCCCAGAATGAATTATTTTCATAAATAAATTTGTCGGCGAATTTTAAACGTACAATTTTATTTTTCTTGCTAATAAATGGCTTTCTTCTTGGATCAGACAGAATTAGAACCGCGAAATCTACGGCCGACTATAAAACATAATGATGGATCTGTATTAGTTTGGGGTTGCATGGCATCTAGAGGAAAATTTAAAAAGCAGTGTATCAAAATTGTATTTACCTAGCGATTATTGGTTTCAGTCTGACAATGATCCGAAGCATACCGCTAAAATAGTCAAAGAATAGAAATTGTAAAATGTTCCACACGTGGTGCCACGTCCACCGCAAAGTCCCGATTTAAAACCCATTGAACATTTATGAGATGAAGTAGAAAAATGATTAAGAAATACTATTATTATTTCGAAAGAAGTGTTGAAACGAAATATTATTGAAATATGGCAATCAATAGATGCAAATGTTACTTCTAAGTTGGTCCACTCAATGGAAAATAGACTTAGGGGTGTTATAAAAGCAAAAGGTGGATCAACTTCCTAGTAAAACCTTTAATCGTTCAATTTAAATAACTATTAATTGTTTCGTTCGAATACTTTTGTGAGCCATTTCTGGTACGTGTTTACAATAAATGTACTGTAAAAGCGCTATATACTGTTGAATTATTTTCTAATTTTGCTTACGCAGTCTTAAGACCCATCCCTTGTTATATGTGTCATATTATATCAAATGCTTCAGTTTAACACATATATTTGATTAATTGAATGTTAGAAACGTAAGCGTTCGAATACTTTCGTGTACATGCATGGCGAGGATAACAAAATGATAATGATTGTTTTTTCAGGTGTGTGGAATGTCTGGTGCATTCTTTTTGGAGCTACTAATTAGACTTTATCTGACTCCGCCCCTGTTGCAATTGATAGTTCAGAAAAATATATTGGAACGTGCTGCTGGAGTCGGTAATGAGATTGGTCGCCACAATCCAGGTCCATTAAAACATTGTCCACACTATTTAAACATTCACAAAACCTTTCGACGTGTTCACGTTTATATTGCTATGGGGAATATGTTGACTATGGGATGTACAGTCTTGCATCTTCATTATATAGCCAGCAAAATATGCGTTCTTTAATAATATTCTAATCAGATCTTCCACGAGCACGTGTACACGGTGAGAATTGTGAAAATAGTTTTATTTTTCACCAATGTCTCCTACAACGCTAGCCATGGTGTTTGGATTAAACATATGGATCTAGCCTTCCAAATTCTCGTCAGATCACTTATCGAAAGTGATACGTGATCTTGTAACACGAGTATTCGATGTAATTTAGCGAAGTTTCATCGGGGATCAGAACTGTAAACGTTAGAGGTGCTTAATACTGACAAACAAGGGATATGACTCCATCCATTGTTGTCGCAATGCATTAATTATAATAAAATGTTTGAGGAACGATGATCAACGTAAGTTCCACTTTGTATGTAACTGTGAATACGTGCAAATGTGAAATTTTAATGTTAATCACTCTTTCCTTTTTGTTTTCTAGCGACATGAATTTTATCTGTTCGTGGATAGCGCACGTGCCGCGGGATAAAAAGTTAAAGAAATAATATGCTAATCGATACAGAAATTAGTGAATATGGTTTTAATATTTTGTTAAAAAAGAAAGTCGAAATTTCGAGGAATTTTGAAAAGATAATTATCATAAGAATCTGACGTAGCAAAATGTGTAATATATTTTTATAAATTAGAATATTCGAAGATGTAAGAATGCGAAATCGTTGACTATACTGTTAGGTAATAAATAGCTTACTCTGTATCAGAGTTAATAATATTTATTAAAATAGCAGTAGTATATAATGCTAATCTTACAGCTGCGTGGAGTCGTCAGATGTTTGATTGAAAACATGATATTACTGCAAGAATTTAATTTAACTGATTGACTAATTTTCTGACTCATATACTCGCATTACATTATTGTAAATAATGCATATCGCCCATATTATGTTAACTGTAAATTATGATACTTCGAACAATAATATAAAATTTGTTTTTCTTTTTTAAATATTGATTGAAAGTGTATTGATTGTAATCCTATCATATATGTTCGCTATGGAAATTATGATTTCTAATGAAAGCATGGATTATTGGTACATTGAATTGTCTTAATGTTAATTCAAATAATTTATGTATAAAAAAACTACCTTTAATTACAAGTTCATGATACAATCTTACGTTTTAAGGTTCATTGAAAACTTTTCGTAAGTATGTAATTATATTATCACATAAGTTGATTTCTTCGCTAATTCTAGTATCACCAATACTACCGCTATAATATTTGTCATTGTAATAAAAGAATTTACTGTTGCATCCCCCACTTATTAAATCATGATTACCCACACGCTTGGTTGCTACGATATAATTTTCGCTTAATACAAATATATTGATTGAATTTGGAGATTATGGAAAAGTCTATTGTTATATTCTATGATTTTCTAAAAAAATCATGTAAATATGGAAATATAAACATATATACAGTCATGCCGCAATCGAGATATTTCATTTCGATTTATTTCACGGAAGGATTCTAAATAACACAATCTGCTTCGAGTTTCCTGAATTGATCACCAAATGGAATATCTCGAACACGTTAATTTTACATTACGATAATATACATGTGATTCGTCAGTCTCTATATGCCGTGTCCTCGGAACACATCTACTGATGACTGAAATTTCCTCTTATACAAATATTACACTACTATTTCAGTTATCATCCAATGAGCTTCTACGTGTATTTGTATTGTTATTTCACACGCTCACATGTACATTTGCTTGATAATCCTGAGAATCTTAAATACGTACATAAATACCAGTGGCACAATGATAATACACTGCATTATCGTTCAGTTAACATGTACACATACTCGATATTTTTAGATCAGTTCAGTCATATTCAATTTGAAAATTTCAATTCATAAGTCTATTTGAACTGTATCAAAGTGTTACTTTCTCAAATGTTTTTATAATTCTTTCGATAGATAAGCATTTCCGATGTTAATTTTTTTACATCCTTTAAAAATAACTAGTATTTGTACATGCTTATTTTACAGGTACAAAAAGAAATGAGAAAATGTATGATGAATTGACAAATCCATACGGAATATTCAAATGAAACGATCTAACGAATTTGTGTAACAATTCGTCAAAAAACTCTTTTACATGAAGATGCGAACCTATTAGAAAATACATTTTTTATACTCTGAGAATTTCTGCAGCTTTGTTGTAACAAATTGCAATCCAATCAGGCTGGGTTGCACCCCATTGAATTTGATTCACCTCTCCTTCTGCTGCTGTATAAGCTAGAATAGGATCTTCAATAGCTCTTGGCATTTGCTGTATGTCCCAAATTAATGCTTGATGATCATCACCAGCTGTGCATATGTGACAAGAGGAGTGTGGTGCCCAAGCTATACCATTTACACTTGCTCTAAAAAATAAATATAAAAATGAAAGATATGAAATAATAGAAGAAAGGTAACATTAAGACAACAAGATGTTTTTTATACCTATGATTATTTAATCTGGCAACTGGTGTACATGGAACACGAACATCTAAAATGATCACTTCACGAGCATCCATAGCTACTGTCGCTAGATAATTTGGATCCTGTTTGTTCCATGCAAGTCTTAAGAGTGGTGTGTGTTGAGGGTCCTCATAAATTATTGTAGAATGTTCTAAATGTCTTAAATCAAACATCCTGACAGAACCATCAGCTCCAACAGATGCAAACATGTCTCGTCCACCCCCAGCTCGACTAAATGCTATATCATACACTTCCTTGTCGTGTGCAATCAATTGTGTTTTAACATGTCCTGTGACCATATTCACTCTTCCTAACACTTGACCTGTTTCTAAACCCCAAATCGTGCATGTTGTATCTATACTAGCAGTGCCGATTAAATTTGGATCCACTTCATTCCAATCAAAGGATGTAAGAGGAGCACAGAAGTCTGAATTTTTATTATTATTTAAAACACATTCCAAACGAGTTTCTGGCTCAGCAGCTCTCCAAACTCTTAAGTAATCACCAGATGTAGCTAGAAGATCTGGCAGCAATCCTAAACATAAAATTTAAAAAATTAATAAAAATGATTTTTGGAATTAGATAAAGAAAGTGTAAACATACCTTTACTGTCTGGTATCCACATTACTTTTGTTGTTGGATAAGGATGATCGAAAGTGCTTTTTGCACTGAACTCTGATGTTTCTTCATCGAGAGAAACTATTTGCACTTTGTTGTTATATTCTTCTACGAAACTACCAAGGGCCAAACGAAACCTCTTATCAGGTCTTACCGACCAATTCATACTGTAGAGAGGCCATGGTGCCTCGTATTTGTAGATTTCTTTTCTTTTAGGGGGCACACTGTGCAAAGCCATTATTACCTTCTATTTTTCCTACTATAAGTAATATATGTCAAATATATTATGTCATAGTCTTGTAATATTGAAATGTAATAAAATCGTAACAAAGAACTAAAATTATTCCTTATCATAGAAATATGATACTACATTCTGTTTAATTATAACACGATGCGCTAATGTATAAACAAACAGAAAAAATCATTACTTCGTGACACTAACCTCAGAATTTAATGTTTTCGAAATACAATAGCTACGAGTACAATTTACTCAAGAATTTCAGAAGTTTACTCCTCCATGTTAAACTTGCATTCGAGGAAAGAACCTTGTGTTTTCGAATATCGAATAGAAGAAGTTAATAGTCACGTTACAGAGTTTCATAAAGGTATACAATATACAATAAACCACATCTCTCGCGATAACATAAAATGGCGCTCTTTTAAATTTGACATTTTGTCGCTATAACAATTATTGTGACGCGGAATTTCATATCAATGGAGATAATCTGATTCATATAACGGGAACAGATTATCTTTTTTGCATACTGAAAATCTAAATATCGTAAACATTGAGTTATGTAATGATATTAATAATTTGTATATTTCGTAGTTCTTTTACAAAAGATTACATATATGTATATATATATGTATATATTACCTATAAATTTTTAATAATTGTGATAATCGTTTAACGTATCGTAAGCTAATTTGTTTAAACTTACACTTCATATAGTGTATGTTGCTCAGATCGTGAATAAGAAAATATACATTCATCGATCAGAAAATCTCAGCGAGTAGGTACATAGATTTAACTTTACAGTGCTGTCGGAATTAATATCCAATTGCAATTTTTCCAAGTACAAAGCGACTTCTTTTAACTTTAATTTAAAAATTCAAACATTGAAACATCTCAAAGAGATAACATTAAAATATAATTTTCTATTCGATTGTTGATAATCCGTGATTCCGGAGAGAATCATTTCATCCTTGATAGTAGCGCCACTTTTGGCGAAATTGCGCAATTTCTTAGACCTTAGACATATTGTATATTACTAGACACACATGTGTACTTACTAGTTTAAACCATATGCATATGTACACACACACATATATATACACGGCTTCAGATAGTTCGCCTGAAGTAACGACGAATCATCTATGAAACGTCACGGTGAACCTGCTGTATAAGCTACGCTAGTATGATATATCTGCAATTTCGAAAGAGTGACGCACCGATGTCCTGAATGTGTTGAACTGTTTTGACATTTTGATTTGACATTAATGAACGTGCGAAAATGTTTAATATTTAGAAAGCAAATTCAATTAATCAAATATGAAATATATTTAGCTAATACCGAAATTAAAAGTAATGAAATACTTACAGGTGGTAAGTTACGTCCCCACCACTATTTTGATTCTTTTTGCAGCCTTTGGAACAACACACACGCGCCATTGTCTTAAAAAATGTTCAAAATTAAGTTCGCACAACAAGATGATCGATAGCGGATATGAGCAGATAGCATCTAACAGCATCTAAGGTTTGAACTTGAATCCTGACGCCATGTCAGTCATTTAGAATGACCATCTTGCACGTCACAATGAACTATCTTTCGTGAGTCATCTTTGCATCACCAGCAGGACTCGGAATTAATTGCATGACAGAGACAAAGCATTTTCGGAGACTGCTCTGAAATGTGCTGCAGAATGGCATTATCCAATCCCATTTGTGAGATCTCTCCTGCAGCAAATTTCAGAGCAGTTGCCGAACGTGGTCTATCTCTGTCATGTGCAGTTAACTCCGAGTCTTAGCCTAAGGATTGTTCCGTACACGCACTATATACATGCCGTGTCTACTATAGTAATACCTCAGGTTTTGCACGATTTTTCTACCTCCCACTTTTCCTCCCATTTTTCTACCTCCACCATTTTACTGCGCATCCAATCCGCAGTGAATCCTCTCTTAGCATTGAATCGACAGCAAATCAAAGCAAAGCAATTTCTACGCTTATTGTCGCTACCGGAGCGCGCTACGATCGGAGAGTCTTGCAGAAACGTAGGCATCACTGTCTACGATGTGTATAGTGCGCGTATAGAAAGAGTCAAGAGATCAGTGAAGCAAAGGTAACTGTTCACTGTGACGTCACGCAGATTAAAAAGATGATCATTCAAAATAGCTGACATGGCATCAGGGTTCAAGTTCAAATCTCAGATACTTATCCTCTATCAATCAACGTGTTGTGTGAACCTAGTTTTGAACACTTTGAAAATAATGTGCATCCCTCAATATTTATTAACCATTCAAGACAATATTCTCCATCCCGTTTACCATTGTCCCCTGTACTTCGCCACAAGTGGCACAAGGCATAGTTGAGCGGACTTGGAGAGTCTTACAAGTTAACGAGGAACCATCAATCCTATGTCTGCACGAGCAATATCGGTACGGCTAGTTAAAGCAAAGTTAGTTAATAAAAACATTGGTAAAAGAAACCCGTGAGTGGACGATCTTATTGGCGACACGAATTTACAAAATATAAATCAAATATTTCAGAACTGAATACGAGAGGTGCGTCGCAAATCGCACGAGTAATTTTATAAATAGAAAATGAAAAATTCCCAAGTAGCTTTATTTGTAAATTCGCAACGCTACATGATAATGTCGTGTTTAGCCGTTTAAAGCTACGTGGAATTTTGGCATAACCAACATTTTTCTCTTAACCGTGCTGTTACGTGCAGCTACGGGGATTTTGTTTTACGGAACACTAACGAAATGTGTTTCTCGAGTATCGAAACGTTAATTATAAGAGAATCGTGGTCAATAAATATTGCGAAGTTAATTCAAGAATTAGAGTTCGTTATCAATCGCGTTCAATGAAAATTGCGATGCTACTTCAAAACAGACGCGATCACGAAATCTCGATGACTGTTTCCGCAGTACAATCATTGGGCAATATGAGCCGTTTATTTTGAAAGTAGCATAAGTCACTTTGTTTTTAAGTCGAGATATTTAAGGGTTTGCGTTTTAACACGTTTCAAAATATGGATGCCAACTTTCGAGAAGATTTACTTGTATTTGTTATCTCAGGATACTGATATTTTTCTCAGTATAAATAATTTCGTGTAAACATTAAAAAATCCCCACTTTTCATTACGGTAAAGTGACTTAAGCCACTTTCAAAATAAATAGTTTAGAAAAATGACTGACAAAAAATTAATTTTGTCCGACGTATTTTACCGAAGTGATGTTTTGAAAGGACAGTGATTTACTAAAATTGTTGAATAAATTACATATATAATAATAATAATTTATGCCATGAACATATTTAATATAAAGGTTTGATTTAAGTATTTTTTATTTTAATATTCATAAAATACAAAAATAATTAGTACATTCTGAAACATAAGTATAAGTAATTTATATGAAAATACATCACTTCAATTTAATTTTCGTCATCAATAGGAGTGATTAAGTCCTCGGAAATCGTGTTTTGTTTCAAATTTTTTAAATAACTG